TGTTTCTGTTACTCTGCTTCGTTTCCATTAACGTCACCCACTAATGACTGACTCTTATCGTCCCGCAAGTGAAAGCCTATAGTACTTGTTTGTGAATATCACAGAGTTATGTTTTGCCCGATTTAGTTATTCCACAAAAGAGTTGGGATCTTATATTTGCAGTCGCACAGTTAAATACCTAGGAAAAACTGGTAAATCCAAGCGCCCAGAACACCACCAACCAACGGACAGAACGTCGGAATCCAAAACCACTTATAATTGTTGTAACTGAAAACCGTGGAAGTGTATACTGTACATAACCTATCAAAAACAAGAGCATATTTGATGCACAGACTACAGCAACCTGAACGTTCCCCATCCCCAACCGGCGCAAAGCGTGAATAGACGGGGTCCAAGATCTCGAGCTGTATTAATCGCGTAGCCATTCATACCCGCACAGATACCTATCTGAACAACGATAAAGCCAATTATAAGAGGTTGAAGATGCTGCGGGATTTTGTTACGTTTGTCGGTGACCATGCACACGCATATACACAAATAAGCCGTTCCAATCACCTGAAATAAATCTTTTTCTTAGATTAAAAACCGATTTATCCTTCTGTTTATACAGCAGTTTACTATAATCAAAAAAATATATATTTCCATCTAATAGATCTACTAATAAAATATTTACCTGGTCAGCAATGCCTCCACCAACGCTAAGGAAGGCTTTCGGATATGTTGAAAATATACCAGCAGTCGCTAATTCACCTTCAACCATTCTTGTGCCACCATCATAAGCATTAAGTGCGTCTGAAAGTCAAATTGCAACTGCTGGTGCGGTTCACACATATCTACCGGAAATTCTAAGTAAACTAACCGTAGTAAAGAACCCAGGTGAAAAACGATGCACAAAATCCCCCTAATATTTGAACAATACTATATAGAATGCACCGGACCCCAGAGAGCCGTCCCATTGTCCAAAGAAAAAGTGAAACTGCCGGATTTAAATGGCTTCCTGAAAAAAAAATCACCCAGCTGCAGAAAAATGATGGTTCGAAGAAGTTGGGAGATTTTTTACTTCCTGAAACGAGCGATAATCGACTAGCCAGAACCAACCAGAAATGTTATATCCCGCGTAAACTGCCATAACCAGTGCAAATCCCCATCCGAGGTTAACATTTATCCAGCTTCCTTGAGTACCTTTGGAAAGAACGTACTGTGCACTCGTAGTTGTGCCTCCAAACTAAGACAAATCAAACGCTGTTCAGATGTCACTTTTCAAGTAAATAATCTAATAAATTATCTTCTGGACAAACCAAATATTTATTCATGTAAAGAGTTGAGCGATGTGCTTCAGTTAAGGTTTCACACACAATAAAAAAAATATACACTGAAATTTTCCCACATACTGAATATATGTGGTCCAAAACTTTATCTGTTACAGCCATTTGTTGCGAGTTTATTCAATAGATAAACACATTATCTTACCACAAGTAATCCAGTGCAGAAGAACTCACATAGGAGACATCTGTATAAATCATTAGAAATTCTAAATTTAAGCCTAAATTTCTCGACAACATCCATCTCCAGTTGACTACCTAAAAAGAGCAAAAAAAAGAAGTTTTTCAAAATTTTTTACAAATAAAGAACAGTTTAAAATTTACTAGAAAACACAATATTTTTGTATTTTTTCCGTAAACCTACTTGTGTTGATAGATCATTCGATCAGTTGCAACACTAGACCAGCAAGATTACACTCAATAAGCGACAGTTCAAGGAACCGTAACGACTCTTGTCCAAATCGCTTTTTCTGTAAAAGCCAAACTTGTTCTCTAAAACTTCAATCAATTACATTGTTAAGAAGTGATTTATTATACAGGCAACAGAAATTGAAACATTCACATAAATAAGACTGTTTTCAACTTAACGTAATCAGTTTTACCATTGAAAGTGTGTTAAGACTAAGTTAAATGAGTAGATGCTTTCACTGAATTAGGTTTATGCATAATACACAACGATTTAGCTCCCTGCTTGACCTTAGGTCGCTAGTGAGTGGTACAATTGACTTTCTTCTCTGTGTCAATTTTTCAAGTAAAATCGATTAAGATTTGTACGGTACTGTAAGAAAGCTAATTGATTAAAATCTTTTTTGATTTTTTAATCACGTGTCTTTAAAAAGATTTCCGGACTAATGTGGAATATTTGAAATTCTAACTAGCTACTAAAAAATAGTTTCTGAGATAAAAGCAGCTGTTTAAAAGATGAAGTAGTTAGAACAAACAGTGAAAAAAGAAAAAAAGAAAACGCAAATGAAATACGGTACGAAAGGCTACAATAAAAACTAGAAAGCCGTTCTCAGCTTTATTTTTGCTAAAACATTTAAAAATAAAAAAGGCTCATCTTAGCTTGTTTTTCACATATCGATGTTCCTCATCGAACAGAGGAGCATTGAGGACAGAATACAGTAAATCATGTAGTATAGTTTCGTTAACAAATTCTAGCGAAAAAAATCTGTTGTAGAAAACAAGTGAAAACATAAAATTCCTTGTTTGCACCTCCCAAACTCAAAGCACTACCGATACCAAAAATCAAAGGAACAGCAAACTCTTTGTCTCACTTATTTTGCAAAAACAAAGAGTTTGCTTCCTTTTGGGAGGCCAAAAATGAATGGTCACTCAAAGAAAGACAGGAGTCTATGGTCATAAAATTTTTGGAAGAAAAAACTTAGTTATCATTAAAAACTTGTTTCGGCTTGCTTGGTTGATTAGTGAGTTATCTTCGAAAGGATTGTTGTCTTCATCGTTCGTTGTGGAAATAAACTCAGGATTGAGTCTATTGATAATACTCAATTCTAATTTCTATCCTATTACTTATCTGAGAATAATTCCCTACTTCTAACTTTGGTGCGATTTGGAATCTATAAGGTTAGTG